AAAAAAAAAAGAACCCTGAAAGCGTACTAACAAATATAACGTGTAGATAAAAACCCAAAAACAAAGAATCCAATCAATATTAAATCAACAATCCTTCGAAAGATAATAAAAATTGACATGGGTCATTGTTGAAAAAATAAAATCTACCAATTGCAGTTACAGAAATTGAAATTTTGCTTTGGTGTTGCAAAGAATTCCAGATGCCGCAAACAGAGGGTTAATCGGGGCAGCCCTGGAAACCGAGGAAGACCGATTGCAGTGTTTGAGCGGGTCGCCGGCGTCGAGAAGAGAGATGGAAGAGACGGGATTGGAAGAAGAGATGAGGAAGATGAGATCAAGAAGACTGGAAGAGATGGTTTTGAACGTTACCGCGTTTTCCAATTTTGGGGCCAGAGCGTTTCCCGTGTTTTTCAATTTTGGGGCATTTCTCACGGCCAAAACGTTGAAAACCCCATTTTGTGTTTTTAGTGCAAAAAAAATTTTGTTTTCAAAAACACGTTTTCGAAAATAGGAAAGAGAACGTGTTTTCACTGTTTTGAAAAATCAAAAACAGAAAACGGTTCGAAAACGGCAAAGAGAACAGGGCCTTAACAACTGAAAAAATACATCCCTACAGATGTAAAATATTATTTATCGCTTTTGGATTGTTTGTCACTTTTTTTTTAGTGTTTGACATTTTTTTGAATTTTCATCACTTCCAACATATAAAATCTTGTGTTCATATTGTCATTGATATGTTTGTGATTTAACTACCAACGTTCTTCATATCAGTTGTAAACTTATTGGATGATTTGGCTATATTGAAAATTTTGGGTTATGATTTGTCACTTTTTTTTTATTTTCTGTCACTTTTTTTTTTTTTAAATTTGTCACTTTTTTAATTTGTGTCACTTTTTTTAAAATTCTGTGACTTTTTTTAATGTTTATCACTTTTTTTCAATCACTTTTTTTAGTGGCGAATATCATTTTTTTAATAAAAGGAACATTGTATGTCATTTTTTAATAAAAAAGTGACACTTGACTTTTAATAGTGATAGTGTCACTTTTTTAATTAAAAAGTGACACAATTTTTATAAAAAAGTGACATTGTGTCACTTTTTAATATTACGCAGTATTTTTTATTTCCAAAAAACTTTTCTTATGATTTTTCTGATGATCCATAATTTTAAGAGTTTTTGTAAGTTGCCCCGTTATATTTTAACTATCAATAGTTTATTAGTTATTTGAGCTCAAATTGTAATTACTCTGTTAAATTAATTAAACTTTCGACAAGTCCAGTCCAAATCAAGTCCCACGCAAGCAAATGCATACAAAACAAACATAATAATTGACAAGAAAAAGAAAGAAGGAAATTTTCAAGTCTAAACCAAGAAGGAAATCATTGACTGCTATACAAATGGGGATCATATTAACAAGTTCGTTCGTTTTGAACAAGTTCGTTCATATTGACAAGTTTTTGTCACTTTTAAGATGATAAAAAATGAAATAATATGTTATATTTTCCTAACATAATCAGCATGTGAATTGGCCTGAACGTGGTGATTATTTTAAAAATATGATTACTGGTACTACACAAATGGATGATGCTATTTTGGTATTTGTCACTTTTTTTGAGTTTGTGTTATTTTTTTAAAAAAGTAAAAAAATGACAATTTTTATAAAAAAAGTGACATCGTGTCACTTTTTTATTTTACACAATATTTTTTACTTCCTAAAAACTTTTCATTTGATTTTTCAAAACACTCCTAATTTTAAGGGTATTTTNCATTGTATCACTTTTTCATTTTATACAGTATTTTTTACTTCCTAAAAACTTTTCATTTGATTTTTTAAAACACTCCTAATTTTAAGGTATTTTTGTAAGTACCCCTTTTTTTAATGGTCAAAGAAATAGGGCCCGGTCCAGCCATTTTCACGTATTGCCTGGGCTGATGCTAATTCAACCCGACCCGACCCGACCCGCTACCATTTCTTCCAAAGCTCAAGTCACGTGCGAACGGCAGACCAATCGACGTACACCCCGCCGTCGCCACAGCCACCCATGGTCGAGGAAGAAGTAGTGACAGAAATTGAGGCAGTCATGGAGGTGTACGGAGACGATTGCTAGGTTGTCGAGACCTACCCTCCTCATTCACCTCAAATCGCGTACTGCCGATGTTTCATCTCAACAGTAAACGTCTTTGTATTACGCTTTCACTGCAACGAACCACTTCTTTTACTTTCTCTAATGCGTGCTGCATCTTCAGAATGTTACCACTATAAGTCCTTGTTTCTATAATGAATCTGTAGACAAAAAATTTTAAATTGATGGGCGATTTATACACGGAAATAGGATTTATTTTATGCTTGTTTCTATTGGAGTTCGCTGAAGTCTGAAATTTTGTACTATTTAGTTGGCCAAAAAGTAGACTTGCAACATTTGATACATAAGAGTTTCTTAGAAGGCCTTTTGACCTCCATTTTATGTTTCAAGTTTAAAGTTGATCTGAAATTGTCCTTAAAAGGTTATCTAGATTAATGTGATGATACGCATCTTTTAATTGTGTTCTATTGAGAAAATTGAAAACGCAAAAAGTAGTTGGACAAACATCACTGGTTCGACTTAAATATAGAAAAGAATGCATATGAGTTCAAAGACTTGACTTGGTATGCTGTAGTCGTTCCCAGTGTCTCCCTCTTGTACACACATTTTTCTGATGTCATCTCTAAATTCTCTTTACAAGATAATATTAATTTTGTTCCTTTATATATTCAAGTTAACGCATGGCTCACATCACTTGAAGCTATCCAAAGGGATAAAATTGGAGAATTACATAAGATTTCAAGTTCTGCCTTAAATGACATTCACCTAATGATTCCGATTGAGCCTAGTTATTTGTCAGCAATGTATGACAGGGAGTTTCCAATTTCCTTTGTTTTCCTCAGCTCTGCCTGAGTTTCTAATGTTAACGTTTATTTGATGGTGACATCAAAGATTCTATTTTAATTAGTGGACATTGAACTTCGACTTCTTTCATGTGCAGTTTGTGGAAGTTTTTATAGCAATGCAAGCTGGACCCCAGGTACTTGTTACATTATAAACGTACAGATTTATAGACTACTACTATACCCATGTAGCAATAGAATTGGAGTTGGAAAGATGGTGTTAGATTGCATCTTAGACCATTGCATTATTTCTTACAAAGTATCAAACTCAAAGAGGCCACAGAGGTCCATGGCTTTTTTCTCCTGATTTTAATTATATATGGAGATGGTTATTCTGCTACACGTGCTTTGTTATTGAATTTCAGTCTATACTTATATTATCATCCTTCCTGTACTAGTAAAGAATTTATTATGACTTGACCAGAGTAAAAAAATCTGCTTTGTGGCAGTATCCTGAAGAGCCACCTTGTATTAGTATTGTTGACTCAAAAGGTCTTGATGAGCAAAGGCAAAACCATTTGATATCTGGCATTTGTAACAAGGCTTTTGAAATTGCCTCCTGTTTCATGCTTATAGCACTTTGTGAGGTAATATATTCACCACTTGGATTAAGTTTCTTAAGTGTCCTGTTGGTCGAGTTTGTGCTAACTCATTTTCTATGCGGATCGATGTTTTCGCTAGATTTGGAGATCTTTTATATCATGATCGAGCTAGACTTTCGGTATGTTTAAATGCATAGATTGCTTTAACTCTTGCTTGATATTGAATTATTGGTCTAGTATCTTGTCAAATTATCACCATTGGGATTTTATATTAGATGGAAGACTGTTCTTGCTGGTTTTTTTAACCATTACAACATATTGATGACTGCAAATATTTCAGGAAGCAGTGGAGAGACTCTCTAGCTAGAACCATCCTGAAGGAAATTGTCCATTGTGCTTGTATCCATTAGTTCATGCAGATGCACAGAGCAATTCATTGCCTTCTATGAAGTTAATGTCTTGTTTCCACTGCTTTCACTGGTGAGTACAGTGCACTCCATTTCTTCTTTATAATGATAGTATTTTCGTATCAACTAGTACTTAGTGTAGAATTTATTTGAATTGCGGCGATTGCATCATCAGATGGTGGAATTGGCTCCGGATGCGAAATGATACTACTTCGCCTACTGCTTCATCATCTTGTAGGGATATACGAGATCAACAAGGTATTATGCAAAAAAATGAAAAATGGTGGAGCTTTAATTACAGTGTTTTGTTGCAACTCTCATATTATCTAGAAGTTCAAGGAAATATTTGGTTCTTATTTAGGATTCTACTCATTCTTCAATTGTTATATCAATATCGAATCCTGTCTATGACACATCTATCCTCTACAATCAATATCCCTGAGGATTGTCAACTCACAATCGCTGCTAACATTTGTAGGACAACCTCTATTGGCAGAATGCGCAGAACCATGTACTTGGATGTAATATTTTCCATTGAGATCGATGCAGACTGCATAAGGATTATGAATAAAGAATGTAATAAAATTATACAAATAAGTATTTAAAAGAAAGCAGCTTGATCCAGTGAAAAGGACACCAAATATTCATAATTAACTTTTACAACTAACATATCAAGGGCAAATTCCACAAATGAGCAGATAATTAACACTGCTGTTGTTCGATTTCCCTTTTCTTATATAACTAGTTTAATGTTTTTATTGGTTGAAATAAAGGTCTTAACCTTTTACTTTAGTTTGCATCTTTTCTTCAATTTGTCCCACAGGTCATAGGCCCTAGGAGGCTTGCGTGTTTGTTTATTCCATATTAGCTATGTTGAGGAAAATACATTTCCCTTGTTCATTTTATGAAAGGATTCTTAATATATCGAATTTGGAGTAAGTGCTTTACAATCTAGGGGGGATTTTCTGGCCTTCTCTTTCTATCTTTTAGGTGCTAGACCTTAAATCACACAAGGGTGGGCATGAATCTGTAGTGAAATAGAGTACCGAGAGAAAAATTTTGATTGACCAAAGGAATTTGTTAGAGTGCCTACAAGTTAAATTTTCTCATCTTTTTTATACTAGAAAAAAAAGAAACATTTTTTTCTTTCCCTAACATTTAATCTCCCTTTCATTTTCCATATCACTATGAATTGCCTTTTCCTTTTCAATAAATTTGAACCCCTATTTTCAGTGTTCTTTGGATTTTGAAGGGCTCCTGCTCCACCATTCTTGTAATTTTGTGTTTTCTGTTATTGATTTTGTTCACCATCTTAGAAAAGTTCCATGTAATCGAAAAGTTACCTGATCGTACTAGTTCCACTTCTTAAAATGATTTTTGTCTTGCATAGGTATGTTCAAAATGACGGAAGAAAGTATGGGAAATTGCCCTGTTTGTCGTGAAGTTTTCCTTGCCAAGGATATTGAACACGTGCTCAACTTGGTTGGGACTCATACCCAGTTGGTAGGTCACTAAGCTTATCTATTTAGATTTTTTAAAATAATTTTATGTTAGTATCTTTGTAATTTGCTAAAATATTTATGTATTTGTCTAGTTATAATTAAAGTGAAGGCTATTTTGAATAGTGTTCTCCAGTACTTGAAGTGTGTTGCCATGATTCTTACAGTTTCTCCTGCCGAGTTTTTATTTTCTATTTCAGTCACCGAGGGTCATGGTTTTAATACCTTCCGAAACAGGTTGTACGTTGGAGAGAAAATTAGAATTCAGTTCAGGGATGCAGTTAGTTTGCTAATTGACTTAGGATGGTCTTAGAGGTTGGGGTGATTCAATCGAATCAATCACGGACCCACTACTTTTCTTCCAAGGTTTAATCCCTAGTGTAGGCAGCATATTTTGTTATGTAGAGGTCCAATGTGACTTGTTGGTTCAGCTTTCACAGAGTGTAAGTTTATAGTTTGCAACTGCAGTAGAATTCTTGAAAGAATAACTTCCTTAATCACTATAATTGTAGGCGTGGATCTGAGTCCTGAGACCTCTTTGGACTTGTTTCCTCCCATTTTAGTTTTTATTCGTACTTTGGGAGTATAATATTTTGTAAAAGATAAAACTACATTTTGAGTCCCTAATCTATTAGGAAAATCATGGAAAAAGATAATGTTGAAGTCAAACATAATGCCTCCTCTTTGCTAATTTGGTTCATTATCTTGCTGCTTTGTGTTTGATTAATCTATATATTTCTTTTCGCATGTAAAATGCTGTAAATCACATTTTTGTCAGTTGTAGGACTCCAGTGGATTTGAAGTTGATGAGGACTTTCTCAAGTCCAAATCAGAATTAGAGGAGAGAGGTTTGAGGCTGTATTGAAGCTTCAGCAAGAAAAAAATAGTGGCTTAATTGAACCCAAAAGAAGTTAAGTTTTATTGCCAGGCATGTATCTTCCCAGGCCAGTTACATCACCCTCAACAGAATCGGATCCGGGATCGAACAAGCAGCAAAACAAAGATCCAACGGTCAAATCTGAAACGAATTCAGACAACAGGCCTAGCTCTAGTAAGCACAGCAATTCTAGCACGAGAATGCACAGGACACAAAATTCAAGAAAACAAGTAAGACAGTGGATTAGGAAAGAGAGTGAGTTGACAAATTAATTTATTTAATGATTCTTTCTTTTTACTGGGATTAACAAGCAACTTATTTCACTTGACCACAGAACAAGGGAAAGTTACAGTTTAAACTCGACTGGTAAGTTACAGTACGGGTAGATTTAAATCTTGTCAACGTTCCACCACACAGAAAGGTGAGATAAACCACCAGATGTGAAGTATTTAGGGTGTGTTTGGTAGGGGATATTTTCCATGGAAAATGGATTTTCCATCTTTTGGCATGTTAGATGGTACAAATTTTTTCTAGAAATTTTTTTCCACAATTCTCTCACACGTGCCAATTCCATGATGGATAATTCTTGTTGTACATCACCTTGTACATCAAGGTGTCCATAATGGACACCTGACACTCTCTCATTGGAGGGAGTGCCGACCCCACCAACCCTCCCTCCAATGAAAGAGCGTCAT